AATGTCAATATTACGCCTTATTCGTATAATATATAAATTCATCTTCGTACAATCAAACCAACAACTGCGCTTATAGTCTCCTAAAGTTCTGATTGTGTGTTGGAGATGGGATACTGGTTTGACCAATACATGCAAGCTACCATTATAAATCAAAATACTGGTCACGGTGGTTTTATGTCAGAGAAAAAAAAAATACATGCAAGCAGCAGAAAAAGCAAACAAAATCGAATTACCGCTACATGAGTACTTCTTATTTGCCTTTAGCCTTTCCCTTACTCGTAGCACAGATAGAGTGATGGATAAGGTGCATATCTGGCTATTGCAAGGTTCATGATTCGAGTCCGGTCTGAAGCCTAATTTTATATTTTTGTCATGTTTATCGCTTACAATAATGAAGTTATTTTTAACCATCCTCACTAACACACTCCACATTTTTCGGTCTCCACAACCAACACTTGAGGCCCGCTGGTTGGGTGTAGCAATAGCGAGTGTGGCAGTTCTAACGAAACTAGCTTCATACAATGTACAAATCCATTTCGTTGCAGAAAACAACGAATAAATTCGTAGAACAAACGAGCGATTTCGTTGTATAAACGAAATTTTATTTTCAGTGTATTGGATATTTTTGTATGGGCCATTAGGGGCATTTAAGCCGATCCATTTCCCGTATTTACTTTTCAGTGTGTTGCACTAGATAACTTAATCTTCATTGGAATTGGATTAATTTATTATAAAAATTCTAAGGTGGGCTCACCCATTGGACTTATCATGGGGTTCGACTCTTAAAGAGTATTTCTAGACCAGAATCTTAAATATTTTATTGCAAGGATGAAATCTAAAAATATATTTAAAGTCACAGAGTTTTAAAAGTACAGAATATTCAATCTAGAATCCTTAAATATTGTCGATTTTTTAATTGACTAGACCATCGATTCTCAGCGCTCCAGTACCGTGTAGTCAAGCTAGCAGGGTGCCACTGAACTGAAAATAATCTTGGATTTTAATTAAATTTATTGAAACATTTTTCGTTCCTATGTTGATAGAGTCCTATTATTGAATCTGTTAAGTGCGATGTCTCGAATATGTCTATAAATGTAGATTTTACGTTACTTTTCCATAGCACCAACATTTTTCCAGAGTCTAGGGTTTTTAATATGATTTTAACAAATTTTAGAAATTTTCTCCACTTCTGGAATATTAAATGCACGTTCATAGAGGATTTTTCCATGTTTGAGATCTCACAAACCTTACCGTTACACTTTTATGAAATGTCTTGCTCAATATTCAGTTTTCTACAACCAGGATCTTAAAGATTATTTTCAATTTTGGCCCTATCGTGCAGAAAACATCAAATTAGTCCATGATTTAAAAATAAACAACTCAATTATACGTTTGGTACGATACTTCAATTCAAAAGCTACCGAACGAAGGCCATGAGAAAGCGTAATATGAATGTTTGCACCCATTATTCTCAAAAACTCCGACTGAATCAATTTTTATCTTTATCCGATAGGTCGAAGTGAAATCAATATGTTTGGGAGTTTAGGGTCAAGCAGCAGTGTTAGATTTTTAACAATATCTCAACAATTTGTTTCTCTTTATCAAATCTTACTGTACGTACGGAAAGGTAAATAAATTTAGAAGTCATCTGTAGTAAACACATTCAATTTTGTAAAAAAAATACACTCGAATACTAGAGACAAAGGGCGGGTTGTGCTTAGTAGACCCAAAATTAGATCTAAGCCCTATGTAATTTCAGTTCATTCTTGATAAAAACAAATCATAGTTTTTACAGCAATTCGGCCATCTCTTTGTTTTTCATGGGTTTTCGCATAACATTTATGCGATCACTTAACTTTTATATGATTTTTCTTATAACTTTCAGCGGCCTCATAATTTTCATGTGATTTTGAGGTGGGTTTTGCGGTTATGTGATCACAGGAAAGCTAAGTGAAATGCACATGTTTTTTTTCCATACCTATGTGTTATTTTTGTTAAGTTTACATTAAAGAGAAAATCAATTTCATTTAACCAGGGATACATTACTGCGTGTGCAGTTAAAATCCCTTTAAACAAATTAAAAATCATCACTACGGTCACCGTATCGAGTCGATCATGAGCAAATAAAGCTGCACATGGACCAAATTAGGTTCTAGTTTCAAATTATTCCTTTGAAACAGTTGGAGTCGGTACTCTTTCTTCGACTCTGACTCCACGAATCAAGCTTCATAGCTCCGATTCCGACTCCACAGCCCTGGTTTAGCCTTATTTTTTTTTTAATTTTCGAAGAATACGGATGATGTATGGCGATGTATGCATGATATTTAAAATTACAAATAAATGGTCTATTTAACCATGTGACTCATTCGGCTTAACCGCATCCGTATTAATGGTGTTTTTGGCCTAAGGTCGGATTCAGTCAGAATCCGGAGGAAAAGAATATAAAAGGCAAGAACTCCTCTTTCATCAATTCTGAAAATATAATCACGGTTTGTGAAGTTTTCAAAAAATTATGCTTGATGGAAAACGAAAAAAAAAAAATTTTTTTTTTTTTGCGCGCAAGGGAAATGGCTTTAATGTTGGCTTATCGATCTAAGATTAGGCCCATCGCTAAAAATCTGCTTTTTATCAATTTTAATTAGATGAACGCGTCATTGGGACGGTACTAATGGACATTTTTCGTCGCTATTGAAAATTTAGTCGAATATTGAATTTATGTATGGGCCCAAATTAGGGGCATTTATGCTTTACATTACATCAATTTCCCTAGCTATTCAGTTGAATCCTCATGAATAAATATGGACGATAATAATAATGAGCATACGGAGTAGCTTAAATAAGTACTGAATATTTAATGGAAGACTAACAAACATGAGACGGACCAACAAATTGTGGGTTACCACCTGTCTGTGCTACCATAGTAAGGAAAGGATTAAGTTCGTTTTTTTCCGACAAATTCACCCGGAAGCTGAAAAGTTATCTGTACATATGGCCGCAATAAACCCAGATTTTTGTCAATCGAAGGTGTACAATCAAGAGTGCCTGAAAAAACGCATTCGACAGTTCGTTAAGGCACACAAAAGATCTGTGAAGTTTTGACCGGATTTAGCAACCTATCACTGCAACCGGAAGGTGATTCAGTGGTACCGTGACAGCGGGGTGGACTTTATTGGCAAATACATCAACTGCCAACTGCCCCCAATGCCAGCCAATCGACAAATAGTGTACAGTTGTAAAGCGATAATTGAAGAAGACTGGCAAGATGACTGCAGAAATAGCTGCGGAATATGCGGAATAATAGTTGGAACTAACTGGTCACTGAGGCATGCTGGGGAGACACTGTGCAAACAATGATGGTAGGTGTGAAAGAAAATTCCCACAAATTGTGCATAACCACTACTAAATAATGTTTTCGTTACTTTTTATTAAAAGTCTATTCAATACCTTTCGATTTGATGCATTTGTTTTTCTTCTGCGTCAAACCAATCTCAAAATAGAGCTGTTTTCTCACTTCCGGATTCTAACTGAAGCAAAGTTTAATGACCCATTTTCAAAAATAGTCTTTGAATTTTTTTCCATTCGACCTTTTGAAACGCTGCAGCATTTTGTCGTTCGGCTCTCTTGGAGTATTTTTACTAGTTAATATTTTAAGGATTTCAACAATCAATTTATAATGGCTTTAATTATTCTTGTTCAAGTAAAGTTTATTTTCCTGGATTTGTTTTCCGTCATTCTCTAACAGATCACTTTAAACAAAATCTACTATATGTAAGTATAAATACTTACAATAATAAGAAGCAATCATTTGCTCTTGATGTAAAACTACTTCACTATTTAGAACGTCTCTTTCGATGTTGGATCGTTCACACAACTCATTGAATAAAATGTTTGCACCGAAAATCTACTAGCTCTCGTATTCACACCAGTATGAACGTGTTTCTTCAATTTCTAGCAATAAAGACAAATACTTTGAATTGCCCGAATAACTTCTGTGGCACGCTCAAATTCATTATTCTCGTAAGTGAGCACAATATACATTATAAATGCGCCCTGGCTCCCTTTGCCGCTTGCACGGGGGTGTATAATCAACATATATCTATGTTCCATGGGACGATAATTTTACCCTTATAAGAACGTTATTTACGACTATACGAATCTCCCCTGGTGACTGCAAACTGTTAGACGAAGAATTTATCGATCTTTTTCTTTATTTAGAGAATTAGATTAGTGCGAAGTAGTAATTCTCTTATGCAATATGTAGTATCAAACAGATAAATGCTGACGGCATGTGGAATTTAACGGTAAGGGCTTTATTGGTTCCTTTGTTTTGGATGCTGCTAGATTGATCCCTCAAGAAGACAATCGACATTCCAACAGTTGGTTTCATGCTTTTCTTTTTCATCATCATTTGTTATGATTATCACGGGCGATGTTGCTCGCTATCACGTGCTCCATCTGGCAGCACGTGGAGCATAAATATTGATGACCACTCAAAGCGATGATGATGCTAATAGTGAGGAGGCCAGTGCTTTCCATTTCTTAGATATTGCATACGGTAATAGTTGTAGAGCTGCCGAATTCATTCCTTCCAAACACCGACCGCCCGGAGAAGAAGGTACTCGACGGATGCATATCCAAATATTTGTATGGTCTACTTGTATCGATTGTTCAGAGGAAAAGCGAAAGTAAAGTTCAATCGACTGGCCTTCACGGCAATTCGCAAGGTGAAAATGAAAGCTGTAAACGGGGAATCTATATAAGGAACTGTGGATGCTGGGTAATTATTCTTTATCAAATATGGAATGAGTAATGTGTATTTTATACTACTCATCTGAAAAGCTTGCCTCACATAAAGGTGTAAACAATCATTAAGTAACTGAATTATAAACCGTTTCGAGCTGCAAGTGGCAGACATGACACCACTTGCTATTTTTGTGATGCAATCAAATCTTACGAGTGTTTGTTAACAGATTTGTATTTTTGCTTTTCATTCGTTTCAGGTCGACAGAACTTCGGCAAACTGGCCGCGAGCTACCAGCACTGTTATTAATGTGAGAAAATGTCACCGGCAAGATTGTCGCTTCGGGAGGAGGACATTGTTCGGTTAGCTTTGGAATTCCTAAACAATCGCGAGTTGCACATTTCTCAATTATCGCTAGAGAGAGAAACGGGTGTCATAAATGGCCAGTATTCGGACGATGTGCTATTCCTGCGGCAACTTATTCTCGATGGTCAGTGGGATGATGTGGTGGAGTTCATTCAGCCATTGGAAGCGCTGCAGAACTTTGACATGAAGCAGTTCAGGTACACCATCCTTCGACACAAGTACATAGAATTATTGTGTATAAAGTCGGAAGCTGGTGGACTAGGAGGACCGCCTCTGATCAACAATGTCGAAGGAGCAGTCGAGGAGGTGGTCCAGGTGCTCAGTGAGCTGGAAAAACTCTGCCCCACCAAAGAAGAATACTCAGCACTGTGTCTGCTACTGACGCTACCGAAGCTCGGCGATCACATGCAGTATCGCGATTGGAATCCAAGCAAGGCTCGAGTGCAATGCTTTCGGGAGATTTTTCCGCTGGTTGAAAAATTTTTGCCTGGTGATAAGAAGGCCGGTACACCGCAGTCCATGTTTGCCAAAAATGATCGGCTTGTGCAGTTATTAATTAAGGGTATTTTGTATGAATCGTGCGTAACGTATTGTCAGGTTAAGGCAACCGGAGCAGCAGATACCGCTTCGCAGAAAATCAACTTCTCGAGGGTACTGGATGGATCGATAGGTGAGTCTCAAATAGTTTTTTTTTTTTTTTTTTTCCTTTGGTTTGTTTTTTCCGTCGATCTTGTTTTCCGTGCTGAGCACCAATGCTACCGACGTGCCAGGAAGGCAGCTCCCACACCTGGACCCTACCTATCGACCCATCAACTCATGAACCGGGGAAGGCGTGATCAGAGATGTTATGCCTCAGAACATCCCGGCGGCGCCGACTGGGATTGAACCCAGGCCTGCTGGGGTGAGAGACAATCATGCTTACCACTACACCACCGGCGCCGTTAGTCTCAAATAGTATTCAGATATTGAATACACTTATATATAATAGCTGTTTTGAAGAAAAGTTGATTATGGGTGGCTAAACATTTTTCAAAACTCGTCTTTATAGACAAGAAGATTGCGTTACATTTGGAGTAGAACACCGACATCTCAAATTTCCTAGAACGAATCTGGAATTAAATCTACTGCCAGTTTGCATTATTCTTGCACCAAAATGATATATGGGACTGTTTGTAAACTACGTGGACAGTTTTTTCGAGATTTTAGTCCCACTTCCCAGCGTAGACAATCGTCCATACACATTTTTGCAAATTTTTATGGACCGTAGACACTCGACAATTCTTATGTCGAATATGCCACTATGCCAAATTTAAACTTTTTTGAATTTTCATGTTCAATGCATAAAGCAGCCTATTGACATAAAAAATATTAATTTTAACTATTCCCCGAGCCAAATCTGAGATCAATTTGAAAACAACTCTAAAAATTGTTGTGATGTCGCTGATAATGATTGCTGTGTATGCTGTTGTTTTTAACGGTTAAAATATCAAAATTGAGATCACAAAAATCTTCCTGTTACATTACATTGTAAACTAATTCTGCTATCAATGAGAGCAAACTGAAAACTCAATTTGATGAACGTTTTTCCTGTTGATAACAAGACGAGCAGCGGCGCCGGTGGTGTAGTGGTAAGCGTGATTGCCTCTCAACCCAAAAAGCCTAGGTTCAATCCCAGTCGACGTCGCCGGGGTTTTACTGAGGCATAAACTCTCTGATCACGGGAGAGAAGTAAAGCCGTTGGTTCCCGGTTCATGAGTTGATGGTTTGATAGGTAGGGTCCAGGTGTGGGAGCATCCTCCCTGGCGTCGATAACAGCACGGAAAATAAATCAAGGAAAAAAAAAATGAAAACGAAACTGCAATAACATATTTTTGAAGAGCAATTGTACCGCAAAACGAAAAGAAAATTTATTATAAACATTGTCAATCGCGTCATTTTGATGCTGGACTTTGCTCGGGTCTTCATTACTGCGAAAGTTTTTCTTCGAACGTCACTTCGTTGCAAATTGTCGATGTGAAATCTGCCTGCATGTGAGACCAATAATTTGACCAGTAGGGTAAATGCTCCTATAGTTGTGATACGTAAGAAGCATTTTTTCCTATTGTTGCTTATGCAGTCTCCGTAACAGCTATAACCTTATGAACTTTCAACTATCAATTATATGCGGCGCCGGTGGTGTAGTGATAAGCGTGACTGCCTCTCACGCCTCCCACAGGGCCAGGGTTCGATCCCGGTCGGCGCCGCCGTGTTTTCTGAGGCATAACATCTTTGATCACGCTTTCCTTCGGAAGGGAAGTAAAGCCGTTGGTCCCGGTTCATGAGTTGATGGGTCGATTGTAGGGTCCTGGAGTGGGAGCTGCGTCGCTGGCGTTGGTAGCATTAGTAATCAGTACGGAAAACAAGATCGACGGAAAATAAGATCGACAGAAAACAAATCAAGGATAAAACTATATGCCGGGTCACATGCAATTTATTGTATCATTTAAAGAAGGAATGATAAGAGTAGTAACGTAAAAAATAATTTGATCAGAATAATGTTTTGTCCATAAAACCCTCAATGGTAAACCTGATTCTATCGTCATTCTATCTTTCGTCCAGTTGAAGTTTTGTCCTTCACAATTTTAGTTCTTTCTGAGTATTGTTCACCTTGAATTATAGATATAAAGAGTACGCATCTAATCATGTTAGAATTAAGTCAATTGATTAGCAAATTTGACACTAAGATACAAGTTAAAAATAAATAAACTTATATCAGATCTTCGCTATTATTTTACTGTTCTGAACGTTCTAGATTTATTTATGGATTATGGTGATTCGTTAAAAAATATTTGAACTTTTTACAATAATCCGAATTATTATCCCAAGGATTGGAAATAACTTGAGGTTCCAGTAAATATATTAACTTAATTAGCTTTCTGGCCCATTTATCGATGACATGTATTTGACACACTGTGTCTCCACTCTCCTCTACTGATCACAATTTTTACGAAATGGGTTTATTTTCTAACGAGAATAAGTCATTGATCATTTTTTTCTCTGTTCGGAGCAAAAAACCACTGCCACCCGTAATTTGATCTATTGTAGTACATTCCGTGTTAGACTAGCCCACATTTATATGAGAGATATTCTTTCTTGAGGTGATGTATGCATTTTGTCCGTATATTGCAATAAAATTTAGGTAGCTTATGCAACGTATCAACTAGATTACAACTAAAAAAAAAAAGTTCATATTTTCACAGGCTCGTGTCAGTAGGTGAGATAACCACTCTCTGAATGTCTTAGCTGCCTTTGATTTCTGTTTATATAGGGGATTTGGTTCAAATATACAAAATGCTCATATATGTATATTCAAAAACGAATATCTCAATAAAACTAACCGGATTCATTATGTAGTCCTCAGCAAAAATGCTACTCATTATTAGAACTACAAGAAACTTTGTTATGATCAATAGAGTGTACGGGTGTCATTTTTTCATGTATTTTATTCAAAATCTCCATACAAATTTCAAACTAAAAGTGTCAGCTCACCCTATAACCAAATGAGCTGAAACGTTCAGAGAATGGTTTTCTCACCTAAAGGCACAAATCGAGTGGTTGGCCCGTGTCCGTGTGCACTAATGTCGTATTACTTAATCACTATTGAGAAATGAAGTATTTGGCTATGATACAGTTGTCATTCTTGCCTTTATCGCAAGGAATCGATTCTAATTGAAAGGTCCCGCTTTTTATACCCTTCGAAGACTGAGAGCACCCTCCAAAGGCACGCCCCTTTGTCAGTCAAAACTGGATTCCTTAGCAACAAAATTAAAAAATGGCACCGATAATGACCATGCATCACAACTCTAGTCTTAACCACTTCAAACTAGAGAACAATGAATATATGATTAGGAATCAAATAGATGAAGACTAACTAGCTCATTTTTTTTTCCTTTTTTAAAGGTCATCCTCGGTGGACAAAGCCGAGTCTTGTCACTATCAATAAGGCATAACAAGTAACAAGGACTAAGATGTGTTCCTTTGATTACTGAAAAATCATGTTCCCCAAGTTTGAAGCAGTCAGGACTAGGAATCGGTGGTAGATCTTACATCCCGTAACGTATCACGAAAAGGTGATCTACCCACGTTTTGGGGCCATTATTCATTTGTCATAACTTTTAATAAAATTGGTTAATGTTAAAAGAAATAGAACACAACTTCAAACAAGAATGTCTCACTTTCCTAACTTTGAAGTAAACTGATTTAAATCTTTAAAATAATTACGCATAAAACCCTTTGCAAAGAAAATGTTTTGGCTGTATTAAATTCTAATCCGATGTTACTAAACTAGTTGCAAATAAAAGCTATATTTATCTACTTTCAATTTGGTTTGGTGGACCTGAGTATTTTTTTTATCAAAGGGACGCGGTTTAGTGCTAACAAACTTTCAATTATATAGTAGGTATAATTAGAAATGAATTAACTTTAACAGTTCGTTTAAGGAGCACTAGAGGGTTACATATAACTTCGACACAGTTAAGAATGAAATTTCATAACTCCGAATAAAAACAGACGAAAAGTCTAACGAAATTGACGAAACTGCCGTTTGTTGCAGCTCACTTTTAAGATACAATTTTCAAACCATTACATAGGGTTTTACCTCACTTTACTTTACCTCTATTTTTCGAACGGATATGAACGCAAATAATGAGTAATTCCGCTATAGATTACTTTATTTACCTTTCTATACGTACAGTTGTATTTGATAAAGAGACTCACATTATTGAGATATTGTTACAAATATAACACTGCTTCATTATTCCAAATTTGTTCTACGAGTTTCAATTCCGTCCTAACGCATTGAAACATCACTGGTTTGTCTAGGTTTTTCTTCGTTCTACAAATGAAGGCAGAAAAAATGGATTTTTAGGAGCGGTTCTTTTGTTTTGAAAACAATGAGTAACAATTGAACAATTAAGTGGGAGCAGTAATAACTGGCCCAGGGATAGACATGTCGCATCCTGTGTGCAGATGGCCAACTGTGTTCCAAGCTGAAATCCAAGCAATTGTAGAGTGTTCCATTATATGTTTGCGTAGAAACTATAAGAGTTCAAATATAAAGGGCGAACACGAAATTATTGCGACACCGAAAATGTCATGCCAATTTTCTTATAATGTTTAGAATCAAACCAAAATTTTAGGGTAGTTTTATACATATATTTACTTCAAAAATCAAAAGAAAAGTTAATCGATGGAGCCTTGAGTGTAAAATTGAACGCATTTTCGCTTGATGCCCTCCATCAAAGTCTTTACAGTGTCATCCGGTACCAGTTTCTCAGTTTTTTTTCCATTTCCTTAACATGTCCTTCTCGTCTTTGACTGTCTTCTTGCTCTTCCGAAGTTCCCGCTTCATTATTGCCCAGTACTGCTCCACCGGGCGCAGCTCCGGACAGTTTGGCGGATTCATGTCCTTTGGAACAAAATGGACAGAATTGGCCACTCCAGGACACTTTTAGAATAGTGGCATGATGCCAAATCCTGGCCAAAAAAGCGGAGCTTCGTCGTGCTGCTGCAAGAACGGCAAAAGGCGCTTCTCGAGGCACTCAGATTTGTAGATCTCGCCATTTACTGTGCCCTTTGTCACGAAAGGCTCACTCCTCAAGAGTCCGCAAGAGCAGATGGCCTGCCAAATGAGATATTTGGAGGCGAACTTCGACATTTTCTTCTCCTTAAATTTGTCGTCCACATCGAACTTGCTCTTGCCGGTGAAAAACTCCAACCCCGGAATTTGCTTAAAATCGGCTTTTATATACGTTTCGTCGTCCATCACACAGCAGCCATATTTTGTCAGCATCTTCTCGTAGAGCTTCCGTGCCCGAGTTTTAGCCGTCGATTGTTGTCGGTCATCGCGGTTTGGGAAGTTCTGTACCTTGTATGTATGTAGTCCAGCTCTGTTCTTTGCATTCTGGACGTAGCTCTGCGACATGCCGATCTTTTTAGCCAAATCACGGCTTGAGACGTTGGGATTTGCTTTAATCATCCGCTTCACCTTTCCCTCCGTCTTTTTGTTCTCCGGTCCCGGTTTTCTTCCAGCTCCTTTGCCGTGGTCCAACGTCAACCGCTCCTGGAACCGCTTCAACACTCTGGAGACGGTTGAATGGTGAATGTTCAACATTTTTCCCAACTGCCGGTGCGACAGGTCAGGAAATTCCAGGTGTTTGGAAAGAATTTGTTCTCTCAACTCGCGTTGGTTCACCTCCATTTTCGTTGAATCGAAAAACAGGACTTCGAGTTTGACAGCATGTACACAATACACATCAATGAGAAAGTGTGCAAAATTTGGTTGATTTTTACCCAATGGTAAAAAAGTTATGCCCTGTTGAATGTGTCGCAATAATTTCGTGTTCGCCCTTTATGCATAATTTCCGACAGTCAAGCTGCTCTAAATGCTATTTAGTCGGCGACATGTACATCAAAACTTGTCTGGGAGTGTTTTCAATTTCTTCAAAAATTGGCTTCCCGACCAGAAGGAAGTATCAGAAATAATGCCCACTGTGTTACTGAGATATAAAATTATTCGTAACATGGTCTGTTATAAAACATGTACCGTTAGTAGTTAAAATAACAAAAAATATAACAAGAAATCTTCTACGTACTATCAAGAATATAACAACTATTGTTGGGGTAATATCATATTTTTAACACACCTTGTTACAAAATAATCCATTAGGGTAAAAACTAAAAAGGGTATGAACTGGACTTTTTAACACGGTTTTGGGTAACATATTTTTAGAGTGTTTTCTATTTTTAGATTGTTGTTAAAATATTTCAAAAATCATATACTAATTCTCAAATATTGCCGTTTACATTGCACTCGCTAATAAGAAATTTTATTGTTTTTCTGATTATAAAGTAGCCTAAGCATTAAACTTAGCTATATGAAAGTAATTAATTTAAGTATATGTATCAAAACAAAAATAAGATGAAAGCGACTCATTGATTGCATATGCACTATTTGAATTCTAATACAGTGTTAGTTGCACATTTTGTTTGGTTATGCGTTGAGATCTGTCTCCCACACCATTGTAAATATATTCGAGGTTAATTTTGGTTGCTAATGTTCGACGATTAGTGTTGCAATTTTCCATTGATCATTTTAATTTGTATATCATCAAAAACATATTGATTTTCACAAATTGCAAAATATTTTTTTGAAAAGGCTCACGCCAAAATTCAAAGAACGCAACTGAACTGGTAATTTATGTTTTTGGATTCCGTTCATGAGCGAATATATTGCGGATTGCTTTGGTTAATAGACTCACGTGAAAATATTCGATGGAGGAAAAAATATATTCCCACATAAAATACTAAAGCAATAGCATGTAAACAAACCGATTTTTTGATACGCCACCTAGGAATGCACCCTTGCTACTGGAAACTGTAGCAACGATACGAACCAATGTATGCTAAAAACGGTGTGAACATTTTGTGATGTGACAAAATTATTTTGCAAGGAGTCTAATTGGGGGCAAAATGTGCAATATCATTGGTTCACACTATTATTGCGCAATCGTTCCTAAACAGTTAAAATCTAGGTAAGCCTTTTGATCAGAAGCGTCTTGCAGTGGCAATTTCAATTTTATAATGCTAGTTGTGCATTCTTAATCACCAACGTAACATTTTCAGGTTTTACGGAATCAATTTATAGTAGCCTAGTCGCTTTGGGCTAGGTAGTTTGATTAGACTTGCGAAATGAGGCCCCTGGATTTCCATCGAGCTAGGGAGAATCGAGTTAAGGAGAGATCGAGTAAGGGAGAGTTGGCTGTAATATTTTTTTTAATTCTTAGCATCCCAATCAGAAGAGAATGCTGTAAAAAATAGGGAAAAAAGCACTAGCTTTGGCCTATGGATCTAATAAAAATCTCTCGTTCTTCAATTTTTCGTAGAACAATGCATCATCTGGACAATACAAATGAATATGTTTGATTTTTAGTTTATCATTATCAAAAAAATGCTTGCCTTCGAAATTAATTTATGGGCCCAATATTAGGGACATTTTGGCTGACATTAGGGACATTAACCCTATTAGCCCAATTCCATGTGACACACTTTTCCGTAGCCCTTAAATAAATTTAAATTCTACTACAGGCTCAAGACTAAAACAAAACAAAAATTAAAATAAAACAAACCGTTTCATTTTTCGTGCTACTAATGCTAACAAACTTAGTTAAAATGTTGTTTTAAATTTTATTCTAACAAATTGTGTAACAATTTTATACCATACTCATTTCACCACAGAGCTCTTAAAACAAGATTATATCAACGGTTGTTATGTATAACAGAAGTTGATATAATCATGATATAATTTTGTTATAACGTTCTGGTCAGGTTATCATTATCAAGTCAACTTATATTGGGTTCCTGGTCATTGCGGGATTGACGGAAATGAAAGAACTGATGCACTATCAAGACTCGCATCTTCTCATAAGTTCATAGAGCCAGAGCCTTTCTGTGGCTTATTAGCTGTATCTTTTAGAATGGAGCTAAAACCGTGGGAATCTTCAAAAATGGAGGAAAACTGAAAGAATACTTCCATTGCTAGGCTGTCGAAGCGATTCATTAATCCAAACATTTCTGTGACGAACAAAATCCTGGAACTTTCTAAGAAAGAGCTTAGCATATATACAGTTCCTGAAACAGGTCATTGTCCGAGCCGTTATCACTTGAAGCTGATTGGAAAACTTCAAGATGATGTATGTCGCTTCTGTGGCATAGACTCGGAACATTTGCTATGCAACTATCCGGTAATTTTCCATAAAAGGCGTAAGTTCTTCGACAAGGGGCTGATATAACCCTTTGACTTTTGGAGAACAACTCCCAGTACGTCAGTGCACTTTATTCGAAGTGTAATGCCTTGCTGGGATAACGCTATTAGTCAAACAATGCCGATCACTCCTAATAATAGTGATACGGCATCCTGATATAGTTAAAAAAGGGGAATAGGGGAAATGGCGCTAATCTTAGCCTATGGATCTAAGATTAGGCCCATGGCTAAAAATCTGCTATTTATCAATTTTATCTAGATGAACGCGTCATTGGGACTGTACTAACGCATATTTTTGGTCGCTTTTGAAAATTTAGTCGATTGCTGAATTGTATGGGCTCAAATTAGGGGCATTTAAATTACATGTGATATAGGGGAAATTACATCCATTTACCCTATATCACAAGTGATCAGAAAAATGGTCGCAGGTGAATACACCCGACAAGGATAAAAAAGAAGAAGCAAAATCAATAAAAATTGAGATAATCATAGTGGATTAAAAATTTCCTCAGCTTCGTTTCACTTTTGTCAGATTTGGTAAATGTTGCAAATATTACATAAGAAGCAATACTTCGTTTTGCTTGAAATAAAAAAATGCCACTTCACACCGGTCTGACGTAATACCGACAAAATGTCAAATAATTATGCAAAGTTTTTTGCAAATCGGAGAAGGTCGTGCCTGTTCGATTCGTCATTTCGTGTGGAATTTCTCTTCAGGAAGATTGGATTATGATACCCTCGATGAAAGATCATTACTCGATATTTTTGTTTTAATTTTTTAATTATTAGCATAGAAAATCAATGCAGAGTGCAAATTGAAAAAACACTCGAACCCATTAATACATGGGCCGGGAAATTTTGAGATGAACTAGCCAACGGCTAAAAATCTCTCTAATAAGGTTAAAAAAAAAAAACAAAAAAATGGGCCGGAAAAATTCCAACCACATTAGCTAGGATTGGATCCAGCCACACTGGAGTGAGAAAGCAGTCACGCTTATCACTCAAACACCGGTGTCGTCTTACGTATAAGTTGAATTATTATTGATATAAACAAATTTGAACTAAACAATGGAAAAACCGAATTTAAGAGAGTACGACGAAGCTTAGATGAGCACAATAAAATGGCATGACACCCCATTTCTCAATAAAAAAATTATCAATTTTTTAACTCCACAGGTTTCACAGATTCGGACCTATCGTTACTCAGCTGGTTACAGAGTATTCCGGCCGAAACATTCTCGGTTCCATTCGAGCAAAAAACTCTCAACGTGGACGTGGAAAGACTGGAAAAACCTTCACTTGAAACCTCATGGACTGAACATATGCTCATCACTCCCATCAAACCGAAAACTTTCCCTCATTCTGTGATGCCATTTACGCGGCCCCGTAGCGCAGCGGACATCATGACCCGTTCGCTGCTGCCCTCACTGGACGCCGTATCAACCTGTCTCAGTAAGTTACAGTGTGCGGTTCTCACTTCAGATTATTAATGATATTTCATTGCCGCACGTAACCCAAAAGGTCAGTAGGACTCTATAGCCAATGATATCCATTTTTCCCTGTTCCCGTTACAGATCCTAAAGCAACGAACGAATCGTTTCCCATGTCCCGTTCAAGTTTTGCCAGTTTCCACTTGACCGGAATAAAGCCTACGAGCGGCAAAATGATGACCTCAAGCGTGGACCGGCTGTTCGAGAATGGCGACGGCGGTGACGTCTACCGCAGCAGTAACTTTAGCGAATATCAGGTTTGTAGATTTGTAGACTGCTTATCTGCTTCTTTTCTCGATTACGCGCCTCTTGCAAGCATAAATCTGGAAATGTAGCTTGCTTGAAATGGCATATTATTATGCAACTAGGATTCCATCCCTACTTGTCGGTATCAAGCACAGGGGTGTAATATCCAAACCTGAATGAAAGTATGCTAACAGCTTTTTTGAACAACTTTTCATGTGGCAAATAATTCTTTTCCCTCTCTGGGCCAGTACTTTCTTTACCATCCTCTGCATAGAGTTCTTCTGGCGAGCGTTGAATAAAAAGGAATCAATAATTTATGAATATGCATATGTATAGCTACCGGCATCTCGCGCACAATGCCCTCCGTATCCGCTGGTAGTTAGTTCGGGCCCATGGTGGGTAGAAAGGCGATGTAAAACGACGTGTTTGCTTACAAGCTGTAGAACACAGCCTATGATAAACTGTCTCAGTGGAAAAATTGTCATTCTGTTTACTTTCACTTGTTCTATTCAAAGCTTAAAGCCTCGGTGTTTGTTTGTCAAGGCTCCAACGACGTTGGAAAGCTTTCAACATAGCGTGGGTAAACTCAATCTTTCGACGTTCTATGCCTGCGGATATTTCCTCTGGTACAGTCTGCAGTTTTTGTTTTAGGTTCATCTATTTGACATTATTTCTTTGTAAACGTCATCCCCGAACCATCATATCATATGATGTTTCAGCTTTTGGAGTCACTAAATCAAAACTGACACCGTTCATTCAGAAAGTGGGTTGTTTACACGAAACTGTGTGTACAAACAAATCTGTTATAGATCGTTTTTCACTAGGTACACTGCAACCTGCTGTGAGCTTTTATGGCATTCTATACCTACAGAGAGAGGAGATTAATGGGGTGATTCAAATATGACATCCACACCCCCTCCCTCCATGTAACACGCTTTTTCCCATACATGTTACACATTCTAGGACCTCTTCCCCTCGTAAAGAATGGACGTCATATTTGAATCGCCCCTTACTAGTTCTCTGTTGCAACTGCAACCGTTATAGAGGAAATTACTTTTTTTTTTCTTTCCGCGTGCCCTATCTCGTTGGTAAGGATTGGGCTCCTGCAGCCAGCACCGTTTCATATGACAGCGTTGCACAATCTTTGCTGCTCTTGTACATTGCGCCAGAAGTATGTCGTTACTAGGCGGGAACACTTGATTCGTGTTGATTTTGGGAACGTTTTTTTCACAGCTAATCAAGTTTTATGATTGGATGCTGGGAAGCAATGACTCGTGAGCACGTTTCGGTTCTTTTTTTTTGTGTGTGTGTTCGTGTGGGTTTTGTGGTAGGAGGTCCTAGCCCTAGATATAAGTATTCAGGTGCTTCCGTTCTAAGATTCTAGTCTAAACAAGGTGTCAACTTAGGTTCCTACAGAGCAACAGAGGAAGCACATTACTTTTGCATCATGTTACGTGTAGTAATGGTTTTGGTTCATTTGGATTAAGATGCTTTGTAAAAGTTAACAACAGCTAGTGTCAGCGCTAGGTATATCGTTTGACAGTAAACTATGATACGATCAATTGTGTTGTTGTTCTATGTTGTTTAACCGAACAAAAATGCATTGTTTTTCAGAAAATAAAGCCGTCAAAGTTTTTGTGTTTTCGTCAATTTTTCATTTTTTTTATGTCTGGTCCTCCGAAAGATCTGTAAAAGTTCATGAAACTGATTTTAGAGCTTTGTGAGTCTAGATCTCTGTTGTTTTCACCCTTCTTACAAAGAAAATTATACATTAGGGTGGGTCACCGTTTCTTGGAAAAACGTAAACTTGACCTCAGAACAACCCTTGTTTAGTTCCATTTGGGGTCCCAATCAACTGTGAAAAATTTGGGGACGATTGATTGTAACCCGGCTTTCCGCATTGCGTTTGACATTTGTATGAAAATGAGTATGGGAAAACCTACTGCATAAGCATTTTCATCCCTAGAGACCACAATTTTGCTTGAACCATGCAACTAACCATGTTTAAATATAGTCCAAAGAGTGCCTAAAAACTTTGTCAAAAGAAGTGAGGTGCTAGAATGTCTCTAAAAAAAGTTATAACTGTTCAAATATTTATGGTTTAAATGAAATGCCAGAAAGCACTTTTCCTGCCAACACTGCCGGTGTACCAATGGAAGTCAGATTTGAAATTGAAATAATTTCTGAGTTTCTTATCTGATCGATTTGGTATGTTGAGATGAATTATTCAAATTCAATTTCTCAATCTTATAAGCGTTGTTAGATATAGGGGGGGGGGGGGGGGTAATTGTAACCCCGCCCCCTCATTCATATAATTGAAGGAAAGCTTCAAACTGAAATAACTTCGTTGATTATCATCTTTTAGAGTTGGTATGTTCAGATGAGTGATTCAAAAATATTTGCTCAATCTATTAGGCGTAGTTGGGTAAGAAGGGGGGGGGGCGCCTCACTTACATCAGTGAAAGTAAAGTTACAGACTGAAATAATTTCGAAGTTTCCCATCTCCAGGTAGTATGTCCGGAAGGGTTATTTAAAATCATTTGCTCAATCTCATAAGCGTAGTTAAAAAGGACAGAGCATTTCATTCAACTGTCAAAATAAACTAATCTGTTGTGTTTGACAAAACAAAAAGTAACTCTTGAGTTAAGATTAACTTTCATTTTATTAGTGATCAATGAAATCACCTTTCGTATATGACTATGAACTCCGAAGTTATTTCAGTCTGTAACCCTTACTCCACCGGTGCCCTTAGATTTTCTCGCAAATTTTCTCACACACACATCTTTTACCGATGATATGTGCTTACCTATCAGTATGTTCAAACTTTCTCATAAAAAAACATTAGATTGACTGCAAAGTCGCTAAACCGCAAATCAAAGTCAGTCTGTAACTTTACTTTCATTGATATAAGTGAGGGAGGGCAGGGGATACAGTAAGTCCCTTCCCCATATCCAACTGTGCTTATTATATTGAGCAAATATTTTTGAAAAACACATCTGAATCTACCAACTCGACAAGATGAAAAACAACGAAGTTATTTCAATTTGAAGCCGGCGCCGGTGGTGTAGTGGTAAGCGTGACTGCTTTCTAACACCCCAATGGGTCTGGGTTCAATCCCAGCCGAGGTCGGTGGGATTTTTCTGAGGCATAAAAATCTCTGGTCACGTCTTCCTTCGGAAGGGAAGTAAAGCCGTTGGTCCCGGCCCATGTGTGTTGTGAATGGGTGCGATATCCTACGCAGGTGTGGAAGCTGCCTTCCTGCACATTCGGTTGCCGTCAATGGATATGGCAATCGATGTCCGTCGGTGATTGGCACTAGATTGCGGAACAGAGACCGACGTTAAATAAAGGAAAAGAAGAAGAAGATTTTAATTTGAAGCTTTACGAAATTATTGTTATGAGTGAGGTTGCCTGGGGGTATAGTAAGCCCCTCCCCCCTTTAATTACGCTTATCACATTGAGCAATTGTTTTTAAATAATTCACAGCAAATCCGTTAGATACGAAACTTCGAAGTTACTTCATTAACTTTATTCCAATTGATATGAGTGAGGGTGGTGGGCGGCCCCGTCCCCTTCTCCAACTGCGCATATCAGATTAACCACCTTTTTTTTTAGCAATGCATCTGAACATACCAAATCTATAGAATAAGAAAAACCGATTTTTTGAGTTTGGAATCTACACATCTATAACTTTTTTTAGAGACATTGTAGCATCGTACTTCCTTAAGCAAAGTTGTTAGGCACTTCCTTGACTATATACTTTTGCATGGTTAGTTGTATGGTTTAAGCAAAACTGTGGTTCCTAGGAATGAAAATGCATAAAAGTAGGTTTTCTCATTCTAATTACCATAAAAGTTTCAAACGCAATGCGGAAAGCACAGTTGTTTGTTACCCTAAGTGGAACAAAAAAAAAACATTGTTCTGGTAAAATGGAAAAATGATGAACCCTAGTATAAATACCAAGGGTCAAGTGTCATGTACCAATATACTCAGCTTGACGAGAACGGAAAATGTCTGTGTGAGTGCCAACATTTTTTTCAAGACGTGTAACCATTGAACCGAATTGGTCGCAACAACCACCAAATGAAAAGTTCCTTGGTTCCATAGAATACGTTTAAATATTTTTGAAATCGGTCTACTGGTTCCGGAGTTATGGAAAGAACAAAATTCGAAAAACACGGCTTTTGGGCACTAAGTCGTGTTTCTCGACAACAACCAAACCGAATTTGACTCAACATCCACAAAATTAATGGTATCATGATCCTATAGGACGCATTGTTTATTTGTTTTTTTTTTAACACATTGTAGGTCATTAGTGACTTGCCCAGGGTGAGATTTGAACCCAAGTCTTTCAGTGTGAGAAGCATGGATGCTAACCGTTAACGCCAGGCCCGTATTCAGTTAAATATTATGAATGCAAAATCAGTAATCAAATTGATGTAATTGAAAGCAAGATTAGTTGTTCGTTTGATTAAACAGTGTAAAATTTTGCTCTAATTTTTGCTATGTCAACCGTTAAGGAGAAGTTTACCGCTCAAAAAAAAAAATAAAGTTTTGATTTTTATAAAAAAATTTGGGTTAGGCAAAAATGTGCGTCTATCTTGAAAAACTGTCGCATTAATGGCCCTTCGCTTATTTTCAACTTCTATTCAATTTTCATACTGCCGTACTCTAACGGAACTATCCACCTACCCTCTTCTAAAGATCATTCTCTAGCTAATAAATCATCACACTAAAGCTTCATGTTAGCATTTCCAACCAACAATAATAAAACGATTCCCTAAGGAATAGTAATTTGATAATAATGTGTCGTAATAAACCCTTTGGGAAACTGACAACATTTTTGAAAATAAAATCTTCTTAAGCCTATTTTAGCTTGAAGCTTACCGCCGCACAGTGGTAAGAAATCAATAAAAGTGGAACGTGGCCATTTGCGATGAAACTATTGAATGTTTTCATGTCTTCTAAAATGTTTCTTTATTTATTGAGTACTTTATATGAGTGGTAAAATTTTATTTTAAGGGTGGTATTACACTATATATTATAGTATAATACACTTAGATAAAAAAAAACAATGCTTGTATTTCTTGTTAAAATGGATGGACATCTTTGGAAACACTGTAGATAAAGTCACTTTAAGAAACTTTGTTGAAGACGACAATTTTCTATCTCTCATTTGGACGAAGTTATAGAGTGGAAATATAGAGTTATAGTTATAGAGTACAAACGGTAGTACCCCTTTAAAAAGCGTTTTTTTTTACAATAACTGTTTTGTTTGAATTTTCCAATTATTTCAATGTTCTACAAAGATGTAAGTGCTCTAAAATTGCACATATTTGTTCAAAGAAATAAATCGTTATCTCTTCGTTCAAATGATTTATGTCCGCTTTTATATTTTTTTTAATTTTCATAAATTTTAATCTTCTGGAATTCAAGTTCTTCAAAACTATGTCTGACAAAGATTACTCACTAGATGGCGCTAAAACGATAATGATCAAGTGCGCCATCTTAAATACTTATTATATGACGATATCTACAGATCCCGTCTTCAGAAAAGTTGTTCAGATGGACAAGACCTATCTTAAAGAAAATAGTTTAGTTCAGAATTCACTCACCAGGCGGTGCTAGTGTGACATTCATTTTTCATTGTTTGCCCTAGTTTAACATATGGACTAGATAGAAGGTTTCCGTCTTCGGTAGAGTTGTTCAGATGGACAAGATCTATCCTAGACTATCGATGAACAACAGGAAATTATATGAACCGTTGCTTACTAAGAAAACATTTTTAAATAAACGAAGCTTAAATTGAGTTGCGTATTTCTTTTTAAATATAGATGACAGGAATCTACTGAACAGATTTGGCAACTAATGGATTATTTTTTTTCTGAAAAAGAGAGAGCGATATTCTAATTAGTTAAAATGGCAATCAATAAAAAATGATTGTCACAAGAGCGCCAGTTGGTGAGTGAATTCTGTACTGAAATTTTCACCTCAAAATAGGTCATGTCCATCTCAACAACTTTGCTGAAAAAGGAAGCCTTCTATCTATTCTATTGGTGAGTGTATTTTGAAACTCTTTACCTTGGGATAGCTCTTGTGCATCTGAACAACTTGGACGAAGACGGATACCTTATATCTAATCAAGATGTTAAGTTAGGACAAACAATGAAAAATGAATGTCACACTAGCACCACTTGGTGAGTGAATCCTGAACTAAACGCTTTTAGTTAAGATAGGTCTTGTACATTTGAACTACTTTGCTGAAGACGGGAATGATCTATATGAGCAGGGTCTGTAAATAACGTTATATATGTTATATATTTAAGATGGCGCATCTTGTTTATTTTCATTTTAGCACCATCTAGTGAGTAAATTTTGTCATACACTATCCATAGTTTGAAGACCTTGTATTCTTGAATATCATTGCATATTTAAGCAACATTCTATATGGTTGGGATCTCATGATATATTCATCTCTAACATCAACATATGGGTATATTTTTACAATGACGTCTCCCCCTGACAGTGACAAAAGTCCCCTAAATCACCCTTTGCAAATCGTTTAAAATTTCGAAAATCCATTGAAATTTCGTTAAGATACGGCAATTTGAATTCGGGGTCAAATTGAACCCAAGGTACGGACATATTTCAAGTTTTTTGGAGCTGATTTCATCTAATATTACAAAGCTCTGGTGGATGCACCACGGAAGGATTAGTAAAATCTATCGACAAATAAAAAAGTTACAGCCTTTCAAAGTGGCCTGGGGTCAAATTGACCCCAAGGTTAAACAAAAGGTTAAGGTGGTGTATCTTGTAGGTTAGCTGGTATTAGCAGCTAATCTCAACGTTATTTTGTTCAACAACTTATACCCTACTGTTACATTTTTACATGAATTACAAATTACCTCCATGTTTTGTTGCGTTTTGCTGTTTTCATGACCATTTCTCCTAGTATGTATTAACATTAGACTAGTTCGCAACTTCGGCAAAGTTGTTTGAAATATATAATACCTAGTACCGTAAAACGGGGTATCTTTGATAATGCGGGTAACTTTGATAGTAGAATACAATGTTTATATTTTCTCTCTGCGCCTTTTCCGAATTGGAAACATTGGTTTCATATTGTAGCTTAGAGCATTTCCGTTGATATGGTATATAGTTTTTATATTGTATGTGTTACATATTTTATAAACATATTAAAATTCAATTTTCTTGTTTATCGCCTATTTGAAAAAGCACTTAAACCATCACTTATGAAATGTATTTCTAATACAGCCATCACAAAATAAATGTTGTATTCTTATTTCTTTGTGATGTTTTCTAATTATTTACTCATTCAAAGTTGCAACGCATTTTCTTCTACATTCAACGAGCATTATCAAAGTAACCCCAAAGCAAAATAGTGATGTTCGGTCACAAGACTAAAAAAATAGTGCAAATGATTTAATTTCCGTCAAGCATATTACATAGCAAGGATCATCAGTATTTGTTTAAAAAAATAAAATTTGAAAAAAAAAAATAATTGCTGTAAAAAATATTTAGAATATACTTAACATAAACTATTAATGTTACCCCGTTTTACGGTACTCTCAATCTAAGTCCGAGCTTTGGTGAAATTATTCACATGCAAACACATTTTTTCTACATCATGATGGTTGGATATAAAAAACCGAAAATCCTGTCCTTAAGATTTTGTTTTTACCCAGCTTTTTAAAATTATGATATAGAAAACATATTTTTACATGTACATACATGAATCTATGGGAAAAAAACTATTTTCTTGGATTTTTTTATATATATTATCTTAAAGATAAAGCAAAATGTGCAAACAATTTTTATTTTATTGTCGTGGCGATAAGCTTCGCGTTTACACCGTATTATTCAAAGGAAGCTGGGTACCCGGGCAATCCGTTGCGCACATAACGGTTAAAGATTGATTCATTAGTTGTGTGTTTTTTTTTTTTAATTTAATAAAAACCAGTTGGCATTTAAAAAATCAACGACGGTTTTGACGACGGTAATTTTATTTGTATTTGTTGTGTATGAGTTCCCAATCGAATTCAAATGCAAATTATTGTAAGCTTTGGCGAATTGAGTTTGTAACCGTACTTCAATCCGTTCAAGCTTGCGCATTTTCAATTTTAAATCAACTGTCTATAGATATAAGCTTCTATCCCGTATCGCACTCTCCATATCGTAGTTGACAACTTTTTATTAAACAAAATCAACCCCCGTGCACTGCCAGTTCTTACGATTGCCAGCATGCTTAATTGCCGATAAATTAAAACCAGAACGCCACCGTTGCCGAATCGCACACAAAGCACTTTGCTCACTTGTTGCACCCGCGCGCGCCAAACAGGGACCAGGCTGGATTAAATATGCATCTAATTTTTGCTATTCTCTCTCGTTTCTTATCCCACTCACCAGCAGGGACTTCCATCAATAGAAGAAATCGCTTCAGTGCAATCGAAATCACCCGAACTGCAAGCCGTTGCCGGTGCAATTGTGAAAACCAGTGACATTCACCAGAACAGTGCCGAACGGGATAGTCCCAATACGAGCAACTCCACGGCGAAAAGTTCCCGTCGAGATTCGCTGACGGATAAGATCGCCACCACCAATCAACCAGTGCCAACGGGCCTTCCTCATCACAGCCAACTTCCACCGCCGCCACCTACGGTTGGTCCACCACAACACTCCTCCTCATCCGGGGTCCACTCCGGGATTAGTGCTAATAGCGCTGGTAGCAGCAATCACCAAGGGCCTCCGCATCCTCAGGTTGCACCACCGCCACCTCCTACCGGTGTGATATACGACCATCCTAAGTAAGTCAAATTTAGTTTTTTTTAAATATATAGTACTTAATATACTAATGTTTACTGTTTGTTTTTTTAGAAGCAACGAAATCCTAGCAAACGGTGGTGGAGGCGAGCTGTACGAAAAGTTCAAGCAGCAAAAGCAGAACAAGGAGAGTGATTATATTATGAACGGAAATCCGACCATCATGCCACCATCACATCCACCGAGTAGTCATAGTCAGCAGAATGGCGCCGGCCCGGTCGGTAGCAATGGTCCGTCACGGCTTTCGCATTTGGCAGATGAGAGCAACGGAAAGGATTTTGAGGTGAGTAGAAAATGATTTCGTAATTTCTCTGCATGCGAGCTGAGTTCACCTATATATTCGCCGTCTACTTGTCTGTGAGACGTGTCTTATCATCCACTTTAGATCCACATGAAAGCGCCTAAATACAGACTTAGTGAGTGGCTTGCGTGTTGCCTACCGTAAAGGCGAGACGGTTTATTTGCAGAGGCAGATTGATTTTTTTAGTGGTTGTATGAGATACTCCAGTGGGTGCATGACTGTCCCATTTTTTTTATTATTATTAATTTATTTGATAAGGCTCAACCGAATTAACTTTACAGAGCCGAGGATTCTTGTTCACTATACAATACATCTTAAAACTATAGTCAAAAGCAGTGATGGCATAATTCTCACTCAAATGATTTTGTTTCGCTCTCAAGGGCTCCTAATATCACGCATGATATTAGAATAAAATATCAAGCATGATATTGTTTTAACAAGCTCCTTTGATATTGCGAGACTATTCAGAACATGTAAAATTGCAGCCACGAGTTGACTTACCACAAAAATGATTCCTTTGCACGTCGTTTTCTTAGAAAGAGAAAGCATAGTTTGCTATCTTTCTTTACGCTTCACAAATGGCAGACACGAAGTTACTGCTGCCAGCAGTGATGGAAGTTTCGTTTCGTGTTCGGATGTACAGCAAAAATCTTGAAGCTCAAACTCAACACAGTTTGGTGAGAATTGTAGCCGGGGAGTTTTGTTAGCATGATATCATAGCAACCGTATCACAGCTTGTAATATCATCGGCTGTTGTTTGCGTGTTGAGTTTTTGGTCTACGATACTCAAATGAGATTATGCACATTGGTGAGATTAGATCTTTTGATATTTTCACAACACTGGTCAAAAGGTGCAACACAATAAACATTTTATATTCCGCTATTCAATAACGCACCTCCACCAGAACGGGAGCCGCTTCCAGTGGTTTCATTGTATGGCAGATTCGCCAACGGGGATCAGAGCGCTTCCATTGCAGCAATGGACGCAAAACGTAGTCAGCACTCACACATTCATCACGAAACGGTTGCTTTCCAAAGTCGGCGTCGCATCGACTGAAAGAACTGCTGATGAAGAACAATGAGGAGGACCACACAATGGTTGCTGCCGAGTAAACAGACGATCCTGTGGCACACATCGAGAGTGACCTGCTTCTGTCGACAGCGGAGTGAACACTGACTGTCCCATATTGCAAAACACAAAATTATTGTGAAAACCTCGTGCAAAGTTTGAATACATGTTTTGCTCGAAAAATAAAGTGCTGTTGGAATATAACTACACTCAACTCTCCAAACCCAATAGTCTAAACTCGACATTTTCTATAACTATATATAATAAAAGGACAAGGCAATAATGCCACATCCATAATGTGCAAAATACCTTCAAAGAAGTGATCAAAAACAGATTATAAGCATAATCTGTTATGCCATAGATCAAATCTTATGAGCTTTAAATGATTCAGTCATTTGCGGTAACAGTGCTTTCCCGTTTTGGTAACACAACTTCATCGGTTAGTCCGCATCGTGCTCTCTAGCCGTGCGGATCTATTTGCTTTTTGCTGAAGTAAGTGTTACTGCTACCTAAAGCTACAACAAATTTAAACAGCGCTTTTCAGTGCTCAATATACCGTAAATTTTCTACCTTGTTCGACCCTTGATCCTTGTTTGGTAATCCTGCTTAGATATCGATTTGGAAAAGTCCTCTTTCTTATATTAATCTGCTTGGAAGTCGATTAGGATAAAAATTTTACTGGCACCATGGCGCCCATGCTCAAAAGAAAATGGCCATCTCTTGATCCCCCTTCTGATGAAATTAATTTGAGCAATCAATTTGATTTAGCGGTGCCGGTGGTGAGTGGTAAGCGTGATTACTTCTCACCCCAGCAGGCCTGGGTTCAATTCCAGTCGGCGCCGCCGGGATGTTCTGAGGCATAACATCTCTGATCACGTCTTCCTTCGGAAGGGAAGTAAAGCCGTTGGTCCCCGGTTCATGAGTTGATGGGTCGATAGGTAGGGTCCAGGTGAGAGAGCTGCCTCCCTGGCGTCGGTAGCATTGGTGCTCAGCACGGAAAACAAGATCGACGGAAAACAAATGAAGGAAAAAAAATCAATTGGATTTGCTCACGGGTGATGATAATGATCCAAGAAAAAATTTAGTAAACTTTCCTGGCTTAATGTCAACAAGGAAAAGATTCCCCGCACGGAACTTTTGAGCTTCGTGAAATTCAAGTTATCACTGTAAATTGGCCGTAGGCGTGAATGACGTGTATTGGCTGAAACCTTGGACGGTTTCAAACGTCTTCTCTAGTATCTTACTGAAACAGCTCAGAAACTTGCTAAGCAATTCGAAAGTTCCCATAATTTCAGTTTGGGTCTTACTAAAACTAAACTATCTATAACTAAAAAGTTTTATAATATGAAAGCTCCAGGTGATGATGGAATTTTCTATATCCTCATCAAAAAACTCCCAGAGAGTACCTTGTCTTTCTTGGTAAAATTATTTAACAGATGTTTCCATTTGGCATACTTTCCAGATAAATGGAAAAATGCAAAAGTTGTTCCAATTTTGAAACCGGATAAAAACCCAGCTGAAGCTTCAAGCTACCGTCCAATAAGTTTGCTTTCCTCAACAAGTAAACTTTTTGAAAGGATAATTTTTAGATAGAATGATGGTTCACATTAATACGAACTCATTTTTTGCAGATGAGCAGTTTTGATTTCGCCATTGGTACCCTAATATAATTGGTATGGTTATTTTGCAGGGTATTATCCAAACCATTTGTCGAATAGTTCGATCATTTCGGTTATCGTTCGGGTATGGTATTTTTATTAGGGTATTCAACTAGTCATCAACTCTTAAGAGTTACCAATTTAATTCGTTCAAACAAACTGAAGGCTTCTAAGCTGGAGTTGCTCTTCTAGACATAGAAAAAGCATTCGACAGTGTTTGGCATGAAGCTTTGATTGCTAAATTGAAAAAAGTTTAATTTTCCGCTCTATACCATGAAATTAGTTCAAAATTATTTAACTGGCAGAACTCTACAGGTAAATTATCAAAATTCCAAATCTGAACGATTACCTGTTAGAGCAGGGGTTCTCAGGGTAGCATTCTTGGGCCTATATTGTATAACATTTTCACTTCGGACCTCCCTGATTTGCCTTAGGGTTGCCGCAAATCTTTGTTCGCCTATGACAGGTATTTCCGTATTCGTGTTATTTGCAGCAGGCTGCAGAAAAGTTTAGATATTTTCTCTTCTTATTTTCAAAAAAGGTAGATTTCTCCCAACGCTTCCAAAACTCAACTTATAATATTTCCACATAAGCCTAGAGCTTTTTTTTTGAAACCTAGTACACAGCAACAAATTAATTTTAATATCACATCAAAGTAGATGCACTTCAATCGTGTCGAAAATATGGTGTAATATTACTTGACACAAAGGACAAAATTATCATTAATACAGTGCATGAACTGACACTACGCTGCTTTTACTGCATTTGTTTATTGTTGTGGCCATAAAAATTACATGAGATTTTCGACATGATTAAAGTGCATCCTCTAGGATGTAATATTAAAATTTATGTGTTGCTTTGTAGTAGTCACATAATCACTATGTACGGAGTTCCAAATTCCTGGTCAAACTAAGTGAAACATCTTGAATTAGCATTAAACCAAAAATTAACATTTAAAGATCACATTGAGGGCATTCAAGCCAAATTGTAACAAATATATAAAATGTGTGTATCCTTCTTTAAGGGGGTATTCCCTATCTTTTGCTTTTTTCGGCCTGTTTTTCAATTAATTTTTTTTCAAGGAAAATGAATAGTAATGCGCCAAACTCTTTGGGATTCTTGTTTATTGAACATTAAAGTTTACAAATAATTTTTTTTTGACATAAAAAAAAGACATCATTGACGTCACAAAATGGCGGCAAACAGACCCCTGTTCGCCGCAAACGCCTGGACGGGCGAAGACTTTTCTCTGGAACGGCTTCATCTGAAACAGATTTCGTGATGAAGTTAATAATCTGCATAAGATTCTCTGGAGCTTCTCCCGTTGGCAGCAAAAAATCTTGCAAATTAACAAAATGGCGGCCATATGAAAAAACAGGCGATTTTTAGCCCGCTTTTTTGCAGCTTTAAGGTGCTTCAAACAATGTTAAATGTTAATATTTTTGGCTAAAAGTGGGAGAAGCTCCAAAGAATTTAATAAGGAACAAAATGCGCAAAGATTCAAGTCAATATCTCTTATAGTTTCTGAGAAAAATCTTCGCCCGATAAAAAAATGTGGTTTCGAGAAAAACGCGTTTAAAGTTTTGACTTTAGTTAAAACCATTTGGGGGTTCTTACCATTAGTCAGCTATGCCTGGACACCGAATTCGCTGATCGGAAAACGGCTTGGGGGGATGAAAGTATATAGTCTAAAGTACAAAAAAACGTGTAAAAAAAAATTTGATTTTTCGAAAAAAAAAAGATCGGGAATACCCCCTTAAACAGGAAATCCAAAGTTTGTCTGACAAACCAATTACGTTTATTTTTGTTAATTATGAGCTTACATTATTTTAACATTTTAATTGATTAGCCTATCAGGCTCTTCATCTTTGTTTTATAAGATATTCTAATTCACGTTTTTCTACTAGTCTACACCCCTTGGGGTGTGTTATGTTTGAATTGAAAAAAAAAGTGATAACCTACCTAACTACGAGTACAACTTAGCCTAATCTGCTGGATCCCGTTTGATCTGATGAGTTGATCTCAGACAGGTGTCTCTGAACCTTTCCAGGATAAAAACTCTCCGTTCTTCTAATGTCTGAATTCCAGCCAGGATCTTGTTCTGGATCCTTTGGAGTTTGAGGTGATGGCATTTGGTACAACTCTCCCAGATTGGCATACGGTTCTCGATTACGGGAAGGATGATTTGTTTGTAGACAGCAAGCTTATTTTCAGGGACAGAGTAGACCTCCTGTTGATGAGTGGATACAGGGATC